CCCTGGCTGAGGGGCCCCAGTGTGGGTGCTTTCCTTCCTCCCAGACAGACATGGGTGCTTCCTGGGGGATTCCAGTCTCTCTGCCCCCTCCGCACACCCCCCAGCACAGTCTTGTGGGAAACAGTCCATGGACTGGGAATCTGGAGACCTGCTGGGCCCAGAAGCTTCCTGTGCCCAAGTCTCCTGGGATGTGCACGGGGCAGGAATTCCTGGTCACCCTGGCTCATTGGTCAAGACAACTGTCACAATCTGATTCTCCAGGCCATTCCAGGTTCCTGTCCTCCTTCCCTCCTCCTCTTGTCCGCCCTTCTTTCTGTCCTTCTTCCTAAGAGTCCAAGGCGTCTCTCCTTCTGTCCTGCTGTGACCTCCAAGCCCTGCCTCTCCCTCTCTGCCCACGGAGCCAGGTGGCAGGGGAGGGCTGGGAGAGGGAAGGAAGCCCTGACCCAGTATCGGTCCAACAGCTGCCCCCACCTGCTTCTCTCAGGGGCCCAGCTCTGGTGGCTTTTGGTCTCTTGCCCCCTCTCTGTCCTCCTCCATCCCCAGTGCTCTGCCATCTCTGATCCTCACTTGCTGTCTTATGACCTGAAGTCGGGCCTCTCACTACCTTTGCTTCCGCTCCTCGGCTAGAGTCCCCCAACCCACCCCTTCACCTCTGACCCTCCCCCCCTCGCCAACCAGGGTTCCAGGTTCTTCAGCAAAGAACTCCTTACCAGCTCAGGACTCAGCTCCAGGCAAGGGGATCTGCACCCCACCCATCCCTCCTCTCACAAGAGACTCACTATGCCCTTGCCAGAAGCAGGGTTTTCAATGGTTTATTGGGGTGCGGGCGGGGGGCTACAACACCTTGAACAGGTGCAGCAACCCCTTGCCCAGCTTCATCATCAGTCGCACAAATTTCGGCAAATGTTCCTGATTCTTGTCCTCGTCCTCCGGCTCAGTCTCCTTGCTTTGGTTGCTGGCGCGGACCTGGCGCACACTGCCCGGGCCCTCCAGGCACTCGGGGGTGGCCTCACAGCTCTCTGCAGGGAGGGGGGTAAGACTCTGAGCCGCTGGGACCAGTGCTGGCCAGTGGGTGCCACCGGGGCCCAATCTATCCAGCCAGCGTCTCCGATAGCCCTGCTTGGATACAGGAGCTCCCCATCTTCCCAGCCCTGGCACCCTCCGCGCCAGCTCACCTGGGCTGCAGCACAGGCCTTTGGAGGCGCAGCGACCCCCGCGCCCACAGGGCTTCTGGCCCGTCTGGCAGGGCGCTGCGAGGTACTTCTCCTTCTGGCAGGCCAGGGCCTCTCTGGTGCCCATGAAGCAGCCAAGCTCATCCCCGCAGCAGATGTAGGGCCCGAAGCAGCGGCCCAGGCCTCTGGGGCCGCAAGGGAGGCACTGCAGGGACAGGGGAGAGCAGGAACCAGGGGGGGGGGGGGCTCCCTGAGTCGCCCTGAAATGGGGGTGAGCAAGGGCACAGACTTTGTGGGGCGAAGTTGTGCCCCCAGCTCTGTTTCAGTCTCGAATTCCATCCTAGGATGGGAGTAAATGTCCCCTACTGCTCTGGAAGCAGTACCTGAGGGGCAGCTCTGTGACGGCCCTCCCCATGCTCACACTCAGTCCAGAGGGGTGGGTCTCCCAGGGGCCACTGCAGGAGGAAACTTCCCTCTGGAGCTCTGACCCATCAACAGTGGTATCCCTCTCAGCTCACCTATCCTCTTACCAGACGCTCCTCCCCCTGCCCTGTCTCTGCAGGTAGGTCCCTACCCTGTGTGCACAGCCCCACCCTCCTGAACACACCCTGGCTTTCTGCCAGATCTGGTCTCTTCTCTTGATTGGCCCTTGCCTGTCCCTGCTCACCCACCTGAGGGCTAACAGAGTGGGTGGCAGATCTGAGCCCTAGGCAGTGTCTGGAGTTTTCAAGAGAGCCAAGCAGAGGAGAGGGTGGCCTGTTGGGGCTGCCCACCTGCCCACGTCAGCATGTTGAACAGCCTGTGGCCCAGGTAAAAGTGAACTTCAGGAGCAGGGCTGGGGGTGCAGGAAGAGAGAAGTGGACTGGTATCTGCCAGAATTTCCTGATAGCATGCCCGAGTGGCCCCTCCACTCAGGAAGGTCCAGAACATCTCTCCTGTGGGGGGCTGGGGGCCTGTGGCCAGCAGAGGCTAGGGCTCAGGGGCAGCCTGAACTGGGGGGTAGGACTGAGCCACGAGGACTCCAGCGAGCCTCCCTGAGGAGCCCCCATGGCACAGAGGAGCCTGGCTACTCAGGTCTCCCTGACCGGGGCCCAAGCCCTCTTACCTCAAAAGTCTCTCTCAGGTTCCTGCATCCCCTCTCTGGATGGCACAGGACCTGAAACCCCTTAGCTCCTCCCAGCCCCCAGCAGGATGGTCCCCTGACCCACCCTATTGGTTTCTCTGCCCAGCCATGTCAAGTCTCCCTACTCCTGCCCGGCACTTCCCCTGAAGCCTGCCTGCTCCCAGGATGCCCGGGTGGCCCCAGCCCTGGGGCACCACACACTGGGGCAGCCTCAGAAGGGCCTCCTGGACTGCACCTGCGTCAGGCCCTTGGCTCTGTCACAGTTCCCTTGAAAGCAGGCGCAGGTGAGGGCCAGCAGGCCGAGGAAGCAGGCGGGCAGCGCGACTGTGGCCATGCTGCTTCGGTGCTGCTCAGCCGCTCTGCTGCGCTGCCTTGGTTTCCTGCCTATTTATGGGCACAGGTGTCCCTCAGAGGCCACCTGGCCTGGCCAGCTACCGGCCCCGCCTCCATGCCTCCCCAGGATCCCTGGACGACCAGCTCCCAAGGCATCGGTGGTGACTCAGGCATCTGAGGACTAAAGTGGCCCTTCTGTGCCAGGCCCAGGGCGAGGGGTGGGGTGGGGTGGGGTGCAGGCCCCCCGGGCTGTCACAGTCAGTGGTGTCACAGGGGCTGCTGAGCTGTGGCTGTGGCTTTTCAGTCTTGGGGAGAGGAGCAATCTAGACACCCCTAAACTAGTGTTCAAGTTTTCTGGATGTCCAGAAACGGCAGCAATCAATACATACTACCCCTTTCCCAGCTCCCACAGGGAGCACCCACTCAGGGTGGCCGAGACCGAGCACCCAGGCAGGGAGTTGCTCCTGCAGCCCACCAGAGCCAGGGACAGGCAGACTGGGGTCTATTTCCCACTCGGGGCCCTCAGGTGTGGGAAGGGCAGGCAGGAAGCAGCCCCCGCCTCTTGGTCTAGGCCCTCACCCAGCCCTGGGGCTGCTGTGCCTCTCTCAGGGGCACCCAGGGTGGGCAGTGAAGCTCCCAGGGCAGGCACACACCCCATAGCAGAGTCCAAGGACTTGGGCCCTGAGACTGGGGGCAGCTCCCTGGGACAGTCCCTCCATCTCTCCCAGTCAGCGACAGGGAGGGGAAGAGAAACCCAGGCTCAGGGTGGTTCAAAGTAGAGGGGAGTCCTACCGCCATGCACCCCCGTTTGTGGACATCAGGGCCTGTGTCCTCTTGGGCCTGGCCTGGGGGCCCTGGAGCCAAGGTTGGGGGACAGAGCCTCAGGAGCAGTTTTTGATTCCAGACTCAACACCCAGGGCCACACCAGCTGGCAGCTCTGAAGGAGCCTCTGCTCCCTCCCCTGGGGCCACCATGTGTCTCTCTGAGCTTGGACCCAGGAGAGTCACCCCAAGCCTCTCGGGCTGGACACCCACCCTCCCCTGTGGGCTGCTGTCTTGTCTCTGAGAGGTGCCAGGATGTGCAGGGAAGCTCTGGAGATAAAGAAGGTTGCTCCTCCCCGCCAGTACAGTGAGGGGTTCAGTGCCAGGAGGGGGCCCTTAGATGCTCCCTACCCTTCCCCACTCAGGACCTGACACCACGCCTCTCAGGACTGTCCCCTGAGGGACTGTGAGGACCATCTGAGAGGCAGCGCTGAGCAGTGGTTCTTGAGGGCCACCAGAGCCCAGTGGCCTGGGTCTGAATCTGACTTCTGGGGCTACAAAGAAGGAAGGGAGCTAAGTCCTGGGTTCCAGCCTCAGACCTGCACTGAGTTGCTGTGTGATTTGGGGCAAATCAGACTTGTTCTCAAGATTGTCGCCAATCCATCGCATCTCAATGAGTCCTAAAGCAGTCAGATGCAATTTCCACAATCTTTAAATAACAAGAGATTGCATGCCCCCAGATGAGAATCCAAATTACACAATGTTCTTTTCTCTCAGACCTTTTTAATCTTTCCTTCCTTCTTTCTTTTCTGAGAACAGATAACAGTTGGCTAATCTTAGCAGACCATCTTCTCCTCCATCCTCCCGGAGCGTGCGCGCGTGCGCACTCTCTCTCTCTCTCTCTCTCACACACACACACACACACACACACACACACACACTTTGGATGTTCTCTTCCTGTTCTGAGCATCACCCCAGTGCCTGCTGGGTAAAATCTCTGCTACTGTCACAAAGCTGGCTGGTCTTACTGTCACACAGAAACTTGCTCTTTCTCACCTCCCTCGTCCGAGGTCACTGCGCAGTGCACGCACACAAATTCTTCACACTCTGAGGAGGAGAGCAAGAGCCAGCAAAAGGTGTGGCAAGCCAAGAACTGTTGACCGAATTCAATCAAAGAACGTATTCTGACCAGGAGTAAACAACCATGGCCCTGCAGAGATGGTGGGCAATGGAAATGAATCTACAATGGCGATAAATTAACAAATAAAAGCAAAACCCGTACCTCTACGGAGACCTACTGCAGCTCCACATCTAATGCCAAAGTTCCTTTCAGCTCAATGAAGACCTAAATAGAATGAAATCCAATAGGGGGCTCTCGATTTAAAGTCAGGTCTCTGTGAAGTTGATTTGGTAACAGAAAGAAAGAAAACAAAGGCAGAAAACAGTTTCCAAGGTTTATTTCAGAGCTTCCAGGTGAAGTTCATGGGTCCCTAATTGGGGGCCAGAGACGTGTCGCGCCACCAGGAGGGAGGTGAGGAGTTTTATAGCTCAGGTCTCGGGGAAGGGAGTAACTGGGGAAATTTTCCTCTGTAACTTTGTTGTCTGCAGGTCCAGAGCTAAGCACAGTGTTCAAAGTTATCTGTAACAGTTAGTCTTCTGCAACTGGGCCTGAAGGCCACCGAAGGGGAGAGGTGGGGGGATCCTGGCCTCTCCTAGCATCCTTGAAGTGTTTCCACCAGCTCCCGGTACCTCTTTGCCCACCTGCCCTGCTAACTCCCGCTTCTGCCCGACAGTCTCTAGGGAAGGTTACATCACTCGAAAGAAATCATAAAGGAAAACACTTCACACCATTTCTTGTTTGTACCGTTTCTTGACTTTGTATATGTGTTATGCTAAGACCTAGTGCAAAAAGCAATGTTAATCAGAACAATCTCTTTGACAAAAAATTCCTTTCCAGATCAAAAGCTTGTGAAACTATCAGAGATGCAAGTCAAAGCCACGCTGAGATTCCATTCACCTCCACGAGGATGGCTCAGCTTTAAAAGGCAGACACCTTGGCGAGGAGGTGGGGCTTTGGAAATCTTGCTCAGTGCTGGTGGGGATGCACACTGGGACAATCATTTTGGAAAAACTTATGGAAGGTCCTCAAATACCTACACTGAGAATTACCACAGGACCCGGCAATTCCGTCCTGGGTATGTGCCCAAACCCTGAAGTGGAGACGCAGAGGCCTGTACAGCAGGGTTCAGTGCAGCACCAGTCACAATACAGTTGCCAAAAGGGTGGAAACAGTGAATCTACAGTAAATAGATAAATAAGATGGGTACATATACTTGTGCCTACAATGGAATACTACCCAGCCAGTAAGAATGATGTCTTCATACATGCTACCTTATGGATGGAACTTGAAGACATTATGCAGATCCAATAAGTCAATCATAAAAGGACAACTATTGCATGATCTTGCTTACATAACATGACAAAGGACAACTGTATAGGGCCTAAAGTTTATTCCGGGTTACCAGGGGCAGCAGGGAGGGGGACAGGAAGGGTCTGCTGTTTGTGGAGAACTGAAGCTTGGTACATGGTCAAGAAGCATCACGTTGATTAAAGGTAAGGTTGCCCAGCTGACTCTTCTAAGTGTTGCCAATAAGTTGGATGCCTATATGTGTTAGTCTGGGTGGACTAGAGAAACAAATTCATAGACACGCATATGTGTGTATATACAGGTTTATATAAAGCAAAAGCAATTGAACACTGAGAAAACATCCCAGCCCAGTCCAGATCAAGTCCATAAGTCTGATATTAGCCCATATGTCCAATACCAATCTATAACGTCCTCTTCAGACTCAGGAAATAGATGCAATGACGCTGACTGCAGGAAGATCACAGACCAGTGGGTAGGAAGTCTTGTGGATCCAGAGGCTTTGTAAGCATCTCAGCACTGGCAGGGTCTCCACATGGTTCCTCCAGCTCAGGGCATAGCTCCATGTGTCTTGTCAGCTGCAGTGTCTTGCAGGGAGTGAGTCAAGAGAGAGCGTCTCCCACCTTCAAGGAGGAAGACAGGAGTTCCCAGAATCCTCAGGAGAAGACCATGCCCACACAGAGGCCTCATTGGCTATGACCTGATTGGCAGGCTAGACTCCACCCCTACACTCTTAATCCTCTCAAATTTACAAAGGATTGTCTAACTACCACACTATAGAAGGTTGAATTGACAAAAGAGTAGCTTCCGAGGCTGCTTCTGTACAGCCAAACACCTCCTGGGATTGGCTCATTGACTGGGACGTCTCAGTAAACTAGCCTTGTAACAAGGTCAGGGCTTCCACTCTGCCTGCAGCTCAGTGCTCAGAGCCCAGGCTTGCAAGCAGCCTCCAGGGGACAGTGGGTGTCTGTGCACCTGCAACGGCAGGGAGGGAGAAGGGATGGAATCTGTGGCTAATTCCTGCACGGACAGTCTCGGTTGCCGGGGGACCAGAACTGGATGGTGACCGGCTACCACTATGAACATTTTGGTTACCGACTCCGTCGCAGAATGCTGATCAAAAGGTGGAAAATACACAAATTCTCATGGACTCCACCCAAACTTTCTGGAGCCCTGGAGGTGGGGTGAACTCCCTGAAGTGTTTGTTCTTAAGACCAAGCAATAGTTTATCTTGCCCAGTGAAGTATGTCCGCCCTGAGCATTGCTTGTGCTCTTTGAAGATGTCGCTCTGTGGGTCAAAATCAAACAGCAGGCCCAGAGATGAGATAAAAGCTGGGGCCCAGCGAGGGCGGGGCGCTCGGAGGAGGGGGAAGGTTTATCTGCGTCACTAAATGGTGCAGGTAGGAATGGTTGCGTTGGTGTGTCCTGCTGTGTGGTCTCAGTTTTACAGCTTGTGCAGGTTTTTTAAAAGCTGGTGAATTCACATCTTGTCCCCAAGCTCCAGGTCCCTAATGATCCAGACCTGTCCCACCTTCTGGATACAAAGACACACACACACACACACACACACACACACACACACACACACGAGGGTGACCAGTGGTCCTCATCCTTCAGGAGGGCTGGGGAAGAGTCAGCTTCCTCCCTGTCCCCTCCCCAAGGAGGGGAGTAGCAGTGGGCTGGGGGACAGCTAAGGGGAAGACAGATGGGGAGCTTGGTGGCCTTGGGGACCTGTGGGGCGGAGCCGCAGGACGCCAGGGTCAAGCACAAATTGGGGGGGCGGCACGCCCCTCTGCGCAGACCAGCTGCTGAGAC